TTAAGACACACCCACCCACATATACATATAATATGTTGTTGAGGAAAGAGTCCTAGGTTTGGTATTGGGGAACCAGGGTCAAGACCCCAGTTCTTCCACTTCCTAATTGTATGACTTTGGGCCAATTACCTCATCTCTCTGGGCCTGTTTTATCTTCTGTAGAGTGAATTCATTAGACAAGATGACCACTGAGGTTGCTTCTAAAGCTACATTTTGGTGGTTCTGGGATAAGGCGGGCTCTGGTCTCTTCTAGCTCTAAGATGCTATGATCTCTACATTCCTTTCTTTATCTAATTTCTGTGTTCCTTGATTCTATATTCACTTCCCTGTTACCTGAGGCAGAGTACCCTAGCAGGCTAGAGCAAGTAACTAGTTTATTAATTGATTCATAGGATCAAAAAGTGTATTTAGTGAGATGATGGGGGGGGGAGTTTGGGCCATAAAATGGCACACCATCTTCCTGAGGTGAAAGGGGCTGAAGTGGTCTAGTCTAGTACCTTCATTTTTACAGATGATACAACTGAGGCTGAGACAAGTAAAGTGCCATGGACATAATTTGATACGCAAGCATTTTCTCAGACCCTAGTGCCTGGCGGTATAGTCAGCCAAAAGCCCTTCTAAACATAATAACCTTCCACTTTTCTTTAAAGCTTTTCATTTGTCAAAACATTCTCCTCACAATAACTTTGTGGAACAGGTGGTCCAAGTATTATTAACGCCATGTCACAGATGAGGAAACAGGACTCCAAGGGCTGCATAACTATCATGTGGCTACATAATGTTTGAAGTAGGATCCAAATCTAGTCCTCCTGATTCTAGGTCCATCACTATGGCAGAGGCTTTTATGGCCTCTCTTTGAGAAACAATTGCCAAAAAATTGTACAATTTTTCCTTTTTTGAAAAAATTAATATTGGGTATGGGCCAGCCCAGATTTTTTTCACAAGCTATAGATATGATGGTTCCCATTAGATATTTTTAGTTAAAAAATGTTGTGGTTAAAAACAAAACTACCCAAATATAATTCTTATAGTTTCTATCTATTGGCCAGACCCAAGGTATGTAAGTAAGCTAATAATCAGACCCACAATCTGAAGATGACATGACACACGAGATTCTGGGCCTCGGGAGAATTGTTATGAAATCTCAAGGTATTGATGAAAGTTTTTCAAAGCTGATCCAAATGGGATTTAGATTCGGTGGCAGTTGAAATGTGTATTATTAAACTCCTTAAGTAAACCCGAATGGCTCCCAGTGGAGGATTAAGACATTCTATGTATAGCAAAGACGAAATTCTCAGGTCGGGGTTTGCTCGATTGAATTCCCTCCTGATTAGCTTCTGTAATATTTAACTCCATGCCATGCCATAATTATTTAATAAAAAAGTAAATATAAAATGTATTTCAGTGGGGAGATGACCTTTTACCTTAATGCTATGTTACTAAAGAAAGACATAGATAAATACAGCCTATGGCTTGGGGCATGATTCCAATTCACTTTGGGTTTTTGCGATGCAATCTTTTCTCTTGTGGTGCCCAACAGACATGGTGTTGGAATGACTTCCCATGGACACCACTTACCAAGAAGCAGAAGCTAGGAGAAGTTGCACATTGGTGTTGATTGTGGCAGGCAGTGATATAGTTGGACTTCAGTGACTGAAGTTTTCCTTATACTTCTCTTCGGTACTCTCTTACCAAAATGGAGTACAATACTAAGGCTAGAAAGTTGGCTTTGGATGTGCCAAGTGGTGGAAATGAACACTGAACATATATCTATAGGATGTTAAGACAAATTGTTCTTTAGGTTGATTTTTACCCCAACCAATCAATTCAGTGGGAAAAAAATCAATCACAAAACCACAGAATGTCAAAGCTAAAAGGGACCTTAAAAATAATTGAGTCCAGCTCTCTAATTTTTCTGAAGAGTAAAATCAGGCCCAGACAGGTTAAATGAACTTCCTCAAGTTATACAATGTATAATACCTTCCCTCAAGAAGCTTATAATCTAATCTAATCCCATCCACTGATGTGGGATTATGCAGGAATGGATAGCATAAATGGATCAGGGCTCCTGTCTATATTTCTATGAGATACTCTCTTAACCTGAATTTGGTCTAAAGAGGGGTGATCATTCTGTGTCCTTGAAGTTGCTACCCTAAATGGTGGCATGTGAGTAAGCCCATATGGTAGAACGAGTTTAGAATCAGAGGACATGAGTTTGAATCCCAGATCTCCTCCTCTTGGTCTTTGTGCTTTTGGACAAATCACTTTCCTTCTCTGTGCCTCAGTTTCCTTCTCTGGAAAATGGGGATAGGAGTAGATGATCTCCAAGGCCCTTGCAACTCTAAGTTTCATGATTATGACTTTAGTTTTTGATAGTATGTCTAAAGTACATGCCTTGCAGTGCTCTCCATAGTGGGTACATTTAGAGCTTGTTCACTGGTTAATAAACAGAATTACACTATGAGTCCAATCCAATTCAACCTGGTGCAAATCACTTAACCTCCCTGGGCCTCAGTTCCCTAATTTCTGAGATGACATAGGCAGACTTGGTGGCCTCTGAGGGCCTTTCCATTACTAGATTAGGCCAATATGAGATCACACTTGAGGTGAGATACATGGGGATGGTTTTCTCTAGACCATTTACCATTGGGAAGAAGTGCACCTTCCCCCTTTCCATGTCATCAACTAAGACAAAACCTTGACCTCTTACTGTCTCTATTGATCTCTATTCTGATTGTAGCTGTTGTACAGATGAGTAAAAGGAGACAATAAGGGACCATTGATATTGTACATTGCAGGGCAGGGAGGATTTGGGGATGCCAGCTTACAAATTACCTTTCTCCACTCTATCTTTAACTTATAGTCATTTAACCTTGGTAGGCATTTCTATGGTCTTAAACATCCCCCTTTGGTTTGCCTTATTTCAGAAATTTCTGCCTTGAGTAAGTAATGAAAGACTATAAACTTGGGGAGGAAGTATTTCCCATTATTGATTTGCTGTATCTAGTTCCTAAACCTGTTCAGGGGCCATGGTCCTCTTGGCCAACAACAACACATGGTGTTGTGGAAAGATTGCTGAAGGAAGCCTTGCGGACCTGGGTTCTCAGCTCAGCTCTTTGACAGACGTGCTGTACAGCTTTGGATGAACTCCAGAACCTCCCTGAGACTCAGTATCTTCATCTTCAAAATGAGAAAAAACAACACACAACCTCCCTAGCTTGTAGGATCATTTTGAGGTTCTCATGGAAGCCAATATAAAGTTGTGAAGTGGGTAAGGCTGCCCCTAGAAGGATGACGCTCAGATATACAAGATCTCTTAATATACCATTGAAATAGACCTCTGAAAGTGTGAGGTGAACTTGTGCGGAAAAAATAAAAACAAGAGGCCAAACCATGGCTGCAAGGAGAGAGTTTATGGGGCCTGGTTAAATGGGAAAGGGGATAAGAAAGAACAATGATGTGGGTTCTTGGGCATAAAGATTCCTTGGGTCAGCAGAAATGCTGGCATATCTATGAATGCATAAGAGCTTTCCCATTTACTCCAAATGTGAATGCTTCTTCCTGCCCTCCCCCAATAACTTTGTATTAATTTTGCAAACATTTTGTCTTTATTTCTGTACGTGGTACTTTCCCCCTACTCCCACCTCCCAATGGAGTATAAGCTCCTTGAGGTCAGGGACTATTATTTATGTTGGTCTTTGCATCCCTAGTGCCTAGTACAGTACATGAAATAACAGATGCTTTAAGAAAATTCTAGTTTTATTGAATTGACAAGAACCTGTTTAGATGGAAAAGCACACGTCAAAAAAGAGGAGAGAGAAAAACAAAAGGGAGAAATAACAAAAGCTTATTGTGTTTACAAGAAACTGAGATACGACGATGATGAGAGGGTTGTACTAGATGCCCTATAAGGTCTTTTCCAACTTGAAATCTATTATTCTAATAAATAACTCTTAAAAATTAAGCTGCTTTGAGTATCAAATAAGGCACGAAAGTACATCAAACTTTTTACACAAGGGTGAAAATTATATTTTTGTTCTTTAACCTATCCATAATTTTATGGATTCAATTAAATTTTGTTCAAAAAGATTTTATGATTTGCCAACTACTTTCAAGAACTATGTTAGGTGCTTGAGATACAAAGCCTCCATTCCACTAGGTGGAGGAAGGATTCACCATGGATGCAGGAAAAGGAATAAAAAAATGTACACAAAGTAATTTTGGGGTAAGGGTAGGAATACTAACATTTGAGTGGGATGAAGAAAATCCTCACACTGGAGGTGGCATTTTGCTGGTGTCAGTCAACAAGCATTTATTAAGCCCTTACTGTGTGTCAGGCAATGCGCTATGTCCTAGAAATACAAATAAAGGCAAAAAAACAGTCCCTGACTTCATGGAGCTTATATTCTAATCGGGGAGGCAACATATAAATAACTTAGTACATAGAAGGAATATACAGAGAACAGGGCACCCATTCCAACCCACCCAGGACTTCTTGTCCTGTGTGATTCTGATGTACCTCCTTCCTTAAGCACCTGTAAGTGCATTAAGCCCATTTCCTGTTTCTTTCAGTATTTAATCTATAAGAATTCCCAATGCAGCACTAGGGCTGTTCAATGGTTATCTCCATCTCTCACAAAAGTGGCTAACTAACCTCCTTTTTGAACCACATCTATCTCTGATGCCACTTTTATTGTCACATCTCATCTCATGTGCAAGTCACAGCTGGCCAGCAGTTGTAGCTTGTACTCTGCTATCCCCCTCCCCGTCAATCGACTCATCTTTCCATCTTGTTATCATTAAATGTTTCCTCCTCTTCTTGGTAGTCTGAAATAACTAAGCGAAGTAATAATAGCATCAGCAATGCTTCCACTATTGAAGGCATTAGTGGTACTCTGCTAATACCAGCAACTGTGACAGTCTTTTAAAAAATATTTCTTTAAGAAGGTTTGGTTAATAACCAAGACATATACTCAGGAGTTGGGACTTTTCTTTTTCAGCATTAAATGAACCTACCATAGACTATGGCTTCCAGAGATTACAGAAAGTCATCCCGAGGCATCCTGGAGATCCAGAAAGACTAGCTAAGGTAAATCACTCTGGAGACTGATGTGTTAAAAAACCATTTTATGGCATTTTAGTAAAATGAGATGCATCTGAAAACAAACTCCCTTAGTTCTAAATAGGCTTTGAAGCTTGGCTGCAAAGATTCTCCTGGGTTTTCTTTAGGATATAGGTGTCGAATGTGCACAAAATGTTCCACTGATAAAGCCTAATTTTGAAATGTACTTCTGGGATGTGCTAAACACACACACACACACACACACACACACACACACAAACACACACTCACCACAAAAAAACCTGACAACTGAAAATACAGAGTTTCAAATCAGATCCATTAGATTAATCTTTGCAAAAGACCATTCATTTTATCAAAGTGAATTCTTTGAAATCCAATGGTCCCATAGCATATTAATATATTCTATTTATGCATCAATTATCAGGGAAGTATGCTGTATTTAGACTTCATTTCAAATTCTGCTTCTCCCACTTCCTATCAGCATGACTTTGGACAAGAAACTTCACCCCTCTGGCTCTAAGTTTCCTCATTTGGTAAATGATGGGATTGTACCAAGTGACTTCTAACATCTCTTCCAGTTCTCAACAAATGATGCTAAGACCTTCAGAAATTAAGCGGACAAGGGAAGATGTGTCCTAGCTGGGCCTCTGTTTCCTCATCTGTATAGTAAAGGGGTTAGATTGGATGACCTCTATGGTCCTCTCTTATGATCATGGCTTCCTATAAATAACCAACCGGCAAATACTAAAGATCATAGATCTAGAGTAGAAAGGTTCTTTAGAAGTCATCTGGGCCGACCTTCTTATTTTACACTGAAGAAAACTGGAGGGAAAATGACTTACCTAAGGTCATAGTGACAGAAAGTGGTAGAGCCAGATTTCAAACTCAGGTCATATGATTCAAAGTCAGCATCATTTCCGCTGCTTCCTACGTACATATCTACAAGTTTCCTCTGTTTAATGATGTTTACTTATTTTTGTGAAAACACAATTTTAAGTGAAGCAATGTTGCATGGGTCTCAGTGGTTTCATCAGAACACAATTTGCTGAATGCTGTGGGCAATGGTAAAGTTGACACTTAGGCTTATCACCACTGGGGCTCAAGAGTTAGCTCAGGTTATCACCTGCCATCTTATTTGCCTTGGGCAATTGTCCAAATGATGCTTAACTGTGGAATTTGATTATGGTATATTAATGACATTATTGTGAAATAATATTCATTGGGTAAAATTGTGTGAGAGTGTACCTGTATAACATAGGGCAAGGTATACTTTTGTGTAAATCTGTTATGAAATGCTTCCCTTTGGTAAGTCTGCCTATGAAAAATTGACTTGATAAGGGCTGGCTGATTATTTCAACTTTGATTTATATAAAAAAGTTGATCACATTTATTATATCTCATTAAAAAGCTGAGAGGTATTTCATTTTTCCCCAAAATTGGAACTTTAAACATTCTGATATCAAATTGTGAAGTTCTCATTTCTCTGTATCATGAGAAAAATTAGAAGCCCATAATTGCCTCTCTAATGCACCTTTATTTTTCTCTTGGAAAAAAACTCAGCGTTACAAATAAATGATTTCTAGAAAATAGGTTAATAGTGATTTAAAAAGCTGTAAGAAAAACAGGAGGTGGCAAAGACAAAATGAGAGGAAAGGGATCACTGATCTCTCTCTCTCTCTCTCTCTCTCTCTCTCTCTCTCTCTCTCTCTCAACAAGAAACAAGAAAGTTATTGAGAGAATTCATCTTTATTAGAATCAGATTTCATAAAAGGCAGGGCCAGAGCCATTTCAGAACTCTGGATAGCTCCTAGACAAGAGGATGAAACTCTGGTCAATCGATCACTTAAAAACACTAGATAGGTCTGGCAGTCTGATTTATGTCCAGCATGGCTTTGGAAATATTTTTCCCCCTTTGGTAAAATGTAGTTGGCCATACATATTTTTCCTGAAGCCTTCCCATATCATTGCTGATTTTGTGTTCGGGGAACCCAACACTCTTTGGAGGGGAATACATCATCCTTTAGTATTCCTCAAGATTTCTTATTCAAGGGGCAGCTAGATGGCGCAGTGAATAGAGCTCTGGCCTTGGAGTTAGGAGGACCTGATTTGAACCTCAGACACTTGACACTTACTAGCTGTGTGACCCTGGGCAAGTCACTTAACCCCGATTGCCTCACCAAAAAAAAAAAAAAAGATTTGTTATTCAATAGTGGGATCACTTTGTCCATGGATGTACCTCCAATCTCTCCATTCCTTGGTATTTTCCATTTTGTGATTCCTATCACCATAAAAAAAAATTTGGTAACTAACTTTCTGTTGATTAATGCAATTCCCATGGAAAAAGTGCTGGATTCAGAATCAGAGGCCATGGATTCAAATCACAGCTCTGGCAGTTATCTGTGTGAATTTGGGCAAGTCCCTTAATTTCTGTGGACATCAGTTTTTCCCGTCCATAAAATGAGAGAGTTAGGCCAGATAGTATGTAAGGTTCCTTCTAGATCTAGAATTCTGAATTCAATTCAATTTGAAAAACACTTATTGTACTGTGCTAGATGCTCAGAATACAAAGACAACACTCTGCATTCATTTCCCTGTATTCCTTTCTATCAGAGGGGTACAACATGTACACAGATAATGAAACTCAAGACAGTTTGATGAGGGATCATGCACTAGCTATGGGGCATGGAGAATCATGAAAGACAATTTAGAAGATGGCATCTCAGCTGGGTTTTGAAGGAAACTAGGGAATCTAATACGCAAAGCAGGGGGGAGTAAGATTCAGACAAGGGGGTAGGGGCAAAAGTCCTGCAAAGATACCAAGATGGGAAATGATGTGTCAAATTCAAGGAGCTGCTAATATGCTAATTTGGCTAGACCATCCCATGTTTGAGGGAGATTACCATAAAATAAGTCTGGAAAGGTGGGTGAGAGCCAGAGTGTCAGGGGCTCTAAGCTGATGATTTACATTTTTTCCTAGAGGCAAAAGGGAGGTAAAGAATGTTTTTGAGCCTCTTTATATTTAGTTGAATCAAGTATGTATTAAATGCTTGCTAGGTAATAGTCACTGTGCTAAGTACTAGAGATACAAAGAAGGGCAAAAACAGTCCCTGCCTTAAGTAACTCCCATTTTAATGGGGGAGACACTATGTAAAAAGCTAGGTGCATCCAAATTCTATGTAGCACAGATAGGAGGTAATGTCAGAGGGGAAGGCACTGGCAGCTGGGAGCTGGGGACAAACAGACCTCTTACAAAAGATGGGGTTTCAGATGTGTCTTGAAGAAAGACAGGAAATGAACATAACCAAACATTCCAACACAGGGATCTAACTCAAAAACTCTTTCCACCTTGGTAGGCTCTCGAAGGGTCTACTGGTCTTGACTTTGAGGCTTGCCAGTGTCATTTCCACATCATGATAATGTGCTTAGAGCATAGTAAGTACTTGAATGCTTGCTGAGCCGAATTGAATTATTCAATGAGCTTTTTAGTAGAGCAGAGAAGAAAGATGATTTTTTAAAGCAGTCTGCCACCAACATATTTAGCATTGTGGTTCACAGTTTTAGTTGTCTCCAGCACTCGATGGCTCTGTACCATTTAAGGCTGTGGAAAGGGCTACCCTGTCTGTGCTCATGCATTTCACCATTTGGTTACTGTCCCTATCTCTCCCCCAGGAAATGCTGTTGAAGAGAGCGGCTGATTTAGTGGAAGCCCTTTATGGAACACCGCACAATAACCAGGTTAGATGCTAAACCTTTGCCCCCTTGGGCCACTGCTCTCTCTTGCCTCCTGCTTGATTCTGACTTTTCCTGTAACGAGTGCTAACCTCATGGACGTTTTTGCAGGACATCATTCTGAAGCGAGCTGCTGACATTGCTGAGGCCCTTTATAGTGTCCCGAGGAATCCCAGCCAGATCCCAGCTCTGTCCAGCTCTCCAGCTCACAGTGGCATGATGGGTATCAACTCCTACGGCAGCCAGCTAGGTGTCAGCATCTCAGAGTCCACACAAGGAAACAACCAAGGTAATAACTCCTCTGGACTTCGAGGTTAGCTACTATGAGCCTTAGGTTTAGAAGGCACTGGGAAGTGAAAATCCTGCTTAGATCAAAGGAACCACAATGATGCAATTGAGAGGGATGCCCCTTTCTGAGGAAAACAATAAATTCGCACACTTAATCAATTATCCCCCTGCCAAGTGGAATCCATGGAGTAAATACATTTTAAAATAAAAATTTCAACAACAAGGCACGTTAAGAAGGAGGACATAGAATAACCACGGTTGGAAAAAAAATTTTAATTGTATGGATGATCAGTTTTGGAAGACCTATATATAGTACCAGAAACTGTTGTGTCACGAAGACAACACTGGACTTGGTGTGGGAAAGACATAGGATCCAAGCCTGCCTTTGACTCTTGCTAAGAAATATGACTCCCAGATAGCTTCTAAGCTTCTGTGTACTTCAGGTAACTGTGTAAGAGTTCTATACTAAATCATAGCTGGGTTGAGGTATGCATTGGTGGGAGTATTTCGCACCAATAGCAATGTAGATTCTTCTCATATTCTTGTCAGGATGGCCAAATTGGGTCATTAGACCTTTCATTGTTTGGATAGAATTAACCCTTTCAGTGTATTAATAACTCATCTGGACACTTGAACTGTCCATCTCTTATCTCTCACTTAATACCATGTGACCAACCCACTTCCTTTCTTCAGTTATTTCCTGGCTGATATGTTTTACTTAGAAGCAATATAGTATAGTAGAAAGAGTACTGATTTTGGAATCCAGAGACCTGAGTTCAAATCCTACCTTTGATGCATACTAGGTGCGGGACCTTGAGCAAATCACTTCAACTATTTGAATCTCTGGTTCCTCATCTGCAATTCAATTTGAGAAACATTTATTAAGCACCTACTGTGTGCCAGACACTGGGCTAAAGTGAGGGAGCTTGGAATTGATGGTCTCTAAGATCCCTTTAAACTCCATATTTGTGATGTCATGATCTTTCAGCATCTCTGCCTCTGATGAAATGGATAGTCCCTTACTTGGGCCATGTCATTTAGACATTCCAAAGGGTACGTGCTCTCATGTTTGTAAGTGCTGTTCACATTGGTATAAATCACAACCTACCTATGCCTGATTATTTGGTGCATTTCTTGCCCTTGGCTTTCCATAACTTCTCTATTCCTCTAGCATTTAGCTGAGCTCTGTGTTATCCATCCCCATGGATGTATGACCAGCCCACCTCCTTTTTAAGTGGAGGGAGGAAGGCTATATATGTCCTCAATGTCTTTATTGACACCTGTCACTCACAGATCTTTTCTGGTGGCTTGCTTCTTCCTACTCGTGCTTACTTTTCATCTTTCCATCGATCTTGGACGTTCTTCAGACATCATGGTGTTCCATGGCTCACAATCACACAGCATCACTTGGAGAATCTTGGTGTTAAAGTTATGGGCTGGAGAGCTCATAGCTCTGTGTAATCACATAGATGCCTGCATACAAACAAACTGATGAGAAAATCTGAACTGATTTGTGAATGAAAATGCAAAGCACATACAGAGACAGCTTCTTATTTCAGGTATGCCTTATTATTTGGTCAGGCTGAGTTTAATATATTACTTTTCATTGACCACTTAAAAAAGATATTTAAAAATACCCTTGCCCCTTCATTCTTCTACCATTTTCCTTCATTGTCCTAGAAATCAAAAGACTCAATAGAAGGAAGATAATCTTCCCCTGAATCAATTATTTTAACCTAATGGGTGAGTGCTCCTCAATCATCCCATTCCATAAATTGAATCAATTTTAAGCACCTGCTAGACCCTGTGCTAAGTACTAGGACTACCAAACAAAGAGGAGAGTTCCTACCTTCTAGTATCCTACTGTATACTGTATATGTGCACGTAAATAAAATTGTATCTATAGCATGCCCTCCCAGGGGCTGTTTCTCCAACTCCCACTCACATTGGTAGGCAGGGCCCTGATGTACTTTTAGTACTGCCTCACATAACCTCCTCTTCCTACTCCCCCAAATCTGGCTTGTTCTCTGTTCATTATTGGCTAGCCAGACTTATTAGCTTTTAGCCGGGGGTATTTACTGATGTGATATGGTGATTACAGTATAAAGCATGCCTCCAAATGTCTTGGATGCACTCTTCCACAAATACATACCCATCCAGGAGAAAGCTTAGATAGTATGTGTGACAAAGGGGTAAATCAAAGTTCTTAATTACTAGAAGTCTTTTTTTCCCCTTTGTGGAATACTTATGACCTTCCCTTTCAATGTAGCTATTTGCTAGGCTCTATGCCTAGCATAGAGCTTTTGTCAACCCTGAAGCTACCGTCTTTGATGTGTTTTAGTTCCCAAATGTAGATGGTGTGGTCCTGCCACTTATGTTCTGTGGATACTGCTACTAATTCCAATGGTAAAACTAAATCTTCTGACATTTCAAAGTTTACACTGTTGTCCTCTAGACATGGGGGGACAGGAGGAGAGGAGAGGAGAGAGAATTCAATCCACACTCCTCAGGTCAATTATCAGTAACTATTGGCTTGTTGCTAGAATCTCTTGGAAGTCTTGATTCCAAGCTGGGTTGCTATAATATACACAGACCCAAAGATATGTCTGACTCATTCTTCCAGTCCTAATACATTTTCTGAGTTGTTATCTGATTTTATCTACTGACTAAAATATTTCACTGCTTCCAGATTGATAAAGACCAGGTCATACCTAGTTCATGCTTTTGATTGAGTCCATAGAGATGTCTAGACCTTTTATAATTCCAGTATATGGGGTGGGGTAGGGGATACCCCCTTATACATACAAAATCATTACAATGTAATTTGACTGGCAGCTGGGGGTCAGAGTGGTGATTCAATTCAACAAATATTGATTAAACTTGAATCATGTGTTAAGGGCTGTGATACATACTGACAATATGAAGACAAAAAAAAAGAAATAGTACCTGCCTTCAAAGAGCTTATATTCTAATGAAGAATACAATGTGTCCAAAGATAAGTAAAAACAAAGTATATGCAAAGTAATTTCAAGACAGAGGGCTAACAATGGTTGGGGGAGGGAGATTAGGAAAGGACTTGGGTAGGAGGTGGCACATGACCTGCATTCTGAAAGCAGATGGGCATTGTAGGAGGGGTCCCCTGAATTAGTCAGTTCCTATAACAAAAATAAAGGTTAAGGCCTCCAGCTGGAAATTTTGTTTTCTTTTCCTTTGGGAATATAAAGATGGATGAACTAGAGCAGTGGTTTCTCATCTCTGTTGAGTATGAAAATCCCTTTTTAACAACAAAACTTTTCAGCCCCCAAGCAATGTCAGTTGTTTAGTATTCACAATTTTATTATCTGTTGATGCAGACAAAAATATTAGTCAGCAAACACTTATTCAACACCTGCCAAGTGCCAGGCAATGTGCTAAGCATTTGGAGTTACAAAGACAAAAAAGATATAGTCTCTGCCCTCAAGTAACTTATATCCTAATGGGGAAGACTATGCACTTATATAGGGATTTACAAGAGCCCAACAAAGTAGATACAACATAACCTTAGAGGGAAGGGCTCTAGCAGCTTGAGTGAGTAGTGTCTCTGAATTTAGTGCCTCTTGTAAGTGAATTTTCAGTTTTATATAATCTTAATAACATCTGCATATATTTAAACAGTCAAAAATAAGCCTGTGAGATATATTATTTCCTCATAGATGGTATGTATGCATGTTCATTACACTGAGTCTTTTAAGGAGATGGTCCTCTTGTGATAACCCTGTAGGCTAGGGCTGGGGAATTCCTAGACTAGGAATTCAATCATCATTTTATTTTTGGCCTGGACATGCTTTGTCCCTGTTGTGTGGTTTCAGAGACAGTTGTCCTAGTGGGTATTTCAAAAGCCAGGCTAACACAAGCAGAGCCTACACCTGGTGAATTTGACAGGGGTGGTGGTGGTGGTGTTTTGCTGGGAGGATAAGAAGGTTCCATTTTCCTCCATGTATCCCTACCACTGAACAATGCCTGAAATTCTGCCACTGTAGCCCAGTTCTATTGCTCAAGGTTTCCTTCCCTGTTCAAGAATCCCTGGAAGGCCAGGGATAATACTTTAAAATTCTCTTGGACATTGGTATCTTACAGCAAAAGAGCATCTAATAATCTGAGTGGCGTAGGGGAATGGTAACAGGGCCCTGGGCTTAGTCAGGATCCCCTGAGTTGAAGGACTACATCAGATGCCAGCTGGGAAGTTTCTTAATGTCTGTGCCTCAGGTGCCTCATGTGCAAAGTGGTGAGGTAGGGAGGTTGGGCTTGGTAGTCTGCAAAGTCTCTCAGTTCTACATCCATGCTCCCAGGTAATGGGCTAGAGGAGAAAGGACTCTAGTACCAAAGGGTTCTGTCTGCAGTTGTATGGTCCTAGGGTCCCCTCTGTGGTGCTGTGTGGCCTTCTGCTTCACTAGCTCATCTCCCTCCCTTGCCCAGGTTACATCCGGAACACAAGCAGCATCTCTCCTCGTGGGTACTCCTCCAGTTCCACCCCCCAGCAGTCGAACTACAGCACGTCCAGCAACAGCATGAACGGCTACAGCAACGTGCCCATGGCCAACCTGGGCGTGCCAGGGTCCCCAGGCTTCTTAAACGGCTCCCCCACAGGATCCCCTTATGGAAGTAAGTGCTTTTTCTTCAGTTCTTTGGGCAACCCTGATGGGTGGCTCTTTCCTTTTTGCTTTTGTATCCCCAGTGCCTTATAGCACCTGGCACATAGTAGGCACTTAATAAATGCAAACCACTCCCACAGCTCAAGTGCTGTCAAAAGAGAGGGAGGGAAGGAAGGAAGAAAGAAAGAACATTTATTAGGCCTTCTGGGTAAAAACAGAAAAAGCTAGCCAGCCCCTAGCCTCAAGGAGATTACAGTCTAAGAGGAAGAGGCAATGCATATCATGGAGTGGTGGCCAGAGAGGGCCATTTTGGTTTCAGAGTCACAAGGAGGATAAGTGGGGTCATACGGAGGTAGTTCATTGACTGACCCTTTCTAGAAGTGACTGCTGATTTGATTCTCGTGTCCAGAGGAAGAGATGGGAAGGGAGGAAAGGGGAGAGGCACCTGCATAGCAGGACAGATGGCGAGGTGCCATGACTGGACAGCTGGATGTGATGGGAAGGTGAAGAATGAGGCTCGATTCCCTCATTTCTCCTAAAGGGGTTTTCTTTACAGAAGAGACAAAGGCCCCAGACCTGGACTGTGTGGGGCTGTGGTCACAGTAGAGTTGGGAAGGGCAGGCACTGCTGTTCCCAGGCAGAACCGCATCTCTATTTTTACCCTTCTGACTATTGATTTCCCCTTTGCAATATGTCTCCAATACACCCCCTTCTCTGACACTGCCACCAGAATGGTGCCCTCATCACCTCACACCTGGACTATTGCAATGGTCCGTGGGTCAGCATGCCTCAAGTTTCTCTTCTGGACCATCTTATATTCTGCCACCAAATTACAGAACTGACCATGTTACCTCTATACTCAGTAAACTCCAGTGGCTCCCTATCACCTTTAAAATCAAATATAGAATCTTGCTGTTCAAAGTTCTTTATAACCTAGCCCCCACCCCAATCTTTCCAATTCCTCTTAGCCCTTAAACTTCCCCTTACCAAATACTCTTTGATCCTGTGACACTGGCCTCTTCACCGTTCCTCACATAGACACTCCATCTCCCAAATCCAAGCATTTTTTCTGCTTGTCCCTTATGCCTGGAATGTTCTCTCGCTCTGCCTTCTGGTTTCCCTGTCTCCCTTCAAGCCCTAACTAAAATCATACCTTCTATAGGAATCCTTCTCAATCCTTTTTCATTCTAGTGACTTCCTTCTGTTAATTATTTCCTATTGATTCTGTACATAGCTTGTTCGTATATATTTCTTTACTTATTGTCTCTCCCATTAGATTGTAAGCTCCTTGAGAGCAGGGACTGGCTTTTGCCTTTCTTTGTATCCTCAGTGCTTAAAACAGTACCTGACACATAGTGGGCACTTAATAAATGATTATTGGCTGACTGGCTGACACCACGGAGGCTGACAATTCCATTAAAGTTGTTGGGTCATTTTTAGATGAGCAATTTTAGTTTACATCTACTACGAAGGATGGCCAATCAGGATACATGAAGTTTCCTAGGAAGGGTGGCCATCTCACACCAAACCCTGTTGTTGTGAATGTGATTGCATCAAAGGGTTCTGGGTGAAAAAATAATTCTCATCTTTTGGCCCAAGGGAGCAGGGCCTGCTGGACTGGATTGAAAGAATCCCCTGGGAGAAAAATGCTTTCCTGTCCATACAATAGTTATCATCTTGAAGGAAATTGTTTGATTCTGTGATATTTTCTGAGGCACTTTTCACTGCCAGGGAAGGGAAGAGCACATAGGAAGGCTTTTTAACTTTTCTTTCATTTGGATCCCACCACATCCTTCAATTGACCAGTAATCTCACTGAAGGGGCTGTTCTCTCCTGCAATGCAGATTGCAACCCCTGGCCTCTGAGACTTTCATCTGTGTCCTCTTTTAAATTCAGCACAAGAGACCAGTAATGATACCTTTCAGCTCTTCTCACCTCTTTCTGCCTCAGACACCCTAATCACCCCTACTAGCAAAGCCCACCAAAGCTTCCACATCACTCACTGAAACTGAGCAGCGTGTGAAAAGATCTGGGCATTTGGAGGAGGTAGGGTCTGCTTGGAACTTATCTGTCTTGTTGCCTTCACACTTCCCTTCACTTGGTTGGTTCTCTATTCTCAAAAAGGACAAGAGCTTTGGAACTTTACAGCCCATTTCTGGGAGGCAGAGAGGCTGAGCATATCTCTGCCTCAGCTTTAACCCCAGCAAAGCGGAAATGTGATTCCAGGAAATCTATCAAAACATTGAAATTCTCTATAGCAATGAAGTGAAGTGCCTGATGACATTAAATGTAAAGAAGGTACTTGGCATCTATCTATCTATCTATCTATCTATCTATCTATCTATCTATCTATCTATCATCATATCTTCTATCTGTCTGTCTATCTATCTATCTATCTATCTATCTATCTATCTATCTATCTATCATCTATCTTCTATCTGTCTATCTATCTATCTATCTATCTATCTATCTATCTGTCATCTATCATCTGTCTATCTATGTATATATACATTTATGTGTGTGTAATATATATCTCTGTCTGAATACATAGAATTTTTAGACCTTAGAGGTCATTCAGTCCAAACTTTACCTGAAGCATGAGTCTACTCTACAACTTCCCTGACAAAGGGTCATCCAGCTTCCTCTTGAATACCTACAGGGATGGGGATCTCACTACATGGTCAGGGTTCAAATACTCCCTACCCCAGGAAGCAGGTCTTTTTCCTCTTGGTCATCTCATTCTCAGATCATAGGATTCAGGATTGCTCAGGGACTTTAGAAAGCTCTAATTTGTTCAAAGTTCATTGTCGCAGCGAGCCAAAATCAATTTCCTTATGACTTCCCTGCATTGTTCTGAGTTCCTCCTCTTGTATCAGGTAGACTAAATCTAATCCTTCGGTGTCTCCTCTCCAGGATTTGATTGACAAGGTTATTGTCTCTCCCTCTGCTCTTGTTTGTCTTTCTCTAGGCTAAGCACCTGTTGCTTCTTCAGTGTTATGGTCCAGAGTCCCCTTCCTCTCTTAGCTCCCCATCAGCACAGCTTGGATTTGTCAACATCCCTTCTAAAATTTGGGAAGTCAGCCTGACCCTAACGGTCTGGAGAGGCAATAACAGGAGGGGAACCTCTCTGTGCCAGACTGTGCTGCTGTTCATACAATCTAAGGGGTGGAGGGTTGGGGCCGTCATCATACTCTGTTGGCTTGGGCTAAGTTTGTTGTTGTTTTTCGGTCATGTCCAACTCTTTGTGACCCCACTTGGGGTTTTCTTGGCAAAGATGCTATTTCTTTCTACAGATCATTTTACAGATAAGGAAATTGAGGCAAGCAGATGATTTGCCCAGGGTCACACAGCTAGTAACTTTATGAGGCCAGATTTAAACTCAGATAGATAGATTCCAGGGCTGCTCTCTATCCACTGTTTTGCCACATCTCTCAAGTATTCATGTCCCCCAGTTTTCTCACCTTGGCCTCTTAAGCTGCCTTACCTTTCGTGTATTGCTGTTTCATTGAAGCACTTTCACATACATGGTTAAATCTACATCCTTTTTCACATCACTTCTTCACAATAGTATCTATATTCTATCTCATTGCCAGTCTTAGATTACCTAGGGAAGACTCAGGGGGTGCATGAGAGCTGTCTTCAAGTATTGGAAGGCTATCAAGGGGAAGAGGGATGGCTTGAGAGGAAGGAACCAGTAGTAATGAGTGGAAGGTGCAAAGGAAAAAAGGGTGGGCTTGATGTTGGGGAAAACTCCCTACCCAAGTAGAAATATCCTGGTGTAGAAGGAATAGGCCACCTCTGGACCCAGCGACTTTTCCCTTTCTGCAGCAGTTTGAGAGGAAGGGCTGGTGAGATATATTGTATGATATATGATCAGGTATATTGTAATGGGTATTGTGGAGGTATGAGTTGGACTAGGTGGTTGCTAAGCTCCCTTCTAAGGGGCAGCTAGGTGGCGCCATAGTGCATAGATCACTGGGCCTAGAGTCAGGAAGACCTGAATTCAAATCCAGCCTCAGATACTCACTAGCTGTGTCTTCCCTGGGCAAGACACTTAACCTCTGACTGCCTCAGTTTCCTCATCTGTAGAATGGGGGAAATAATATTGCCAACCTCCCAGGGTTGTTGTAAGGATCAAATGAAATGTTTGTAAAATTCTTTGCAATCTTAAAGGGTTATAGAAAGGTTAGATATTTCAATGTTCTTTGGTCCATTGTGCTGCCTGTCCAGATCCAGATAGATTACAGTTTCTTAGGGCTTATGGGAGGAGAAAACTCCAAAGAGGCCAAGGAGCCCCTGGATCCAGGGCTGAAAAACCCAGTGCTATGGCCATTCATGTTACTTTCCCCAATAACCTGGTGTGGCTGGGCCACGCCATGGTGTAATTACTCGTCCAAGCTGATTAAGGAGAAAATAAAATCGAACCCCACAGCCATGTTTGACTTTCATGACTGCCAAAGCAGGGGATCAGAAACCTTCATCTTTATTGTTCTTACACTCACAGAACTCCAGCCCCCCAAAAGTGGCCAAACAGATGTTTTTCCCATTTGACGTATGGGCTTCGCTTCCTAGCTGGAGCTGTGAGTGCCAAGTTTCAGCCCAGAGCACGTTTTTTATGGCTGAGTTATAAACCCCTGACAATAGGGGGTTATAATGAAATGCTGACAGACCCCTGTGCACCAGCAAATGGGACGGCTGAGTGCAAAAGGCGGATATTTGCCCAGCGAGGTCCAGCTGGGGCGGGGGGAGTCATCCTGGGGACAAGAGAAGCGGTTTTCCCCTTGCTCCTCATGTCCTTGTTAGTTTCAGGCCCTGACATGCATTTCTTAACTTTGATTCCCATCCAAGGGAAGGTAGATACCCAACGACATACTCAGTGGAAAGGCTGGTCAGTCAGTTGCCAAAAAAAGACAACCCTTCAATTCTGGTCCAAGACCCAATCCAGCCAGCAAGTCTGCCTTGCCTGGGCGGGAGGGGCGGGGTGTCCCCTGAAGCAGAGAAAGCCACCAAAGCAGCCTGGAGCCAAAGCCAGAATTACACCAAATGGCATCGACTGTCAGGGAATGCTGCTTATCATTGGCCTCACTCCGCTCTGGGATGGAGCAGGAAGTGGAATAGAGAAGGGGAAAAGGGAGGAAACATGTAGCACTTCTCTAGCCAGGCTATTTGACTCCATGACAAAGGGCATTTACCTTAAGTACAGATCCCAGCACACTTATTGTATGTGATCTCTGCATTAAGGCAAACAGCCCCACTCTCCCCTTTCACTACCTAGAACTTTGTGGCTAGTGATGTGGAATAGATTGCCACGGCCTCACATTCGTTTGTTGAAGCCATCTTCTCCCCAAAGCTAACCACATAGCATGTATTTTACTCTGCTTGAGGGTCCTAAAATCCTCAACCATGGAACATTAAAGCTGGAAAGAATCTGAGAACTTAGTAGTAGTAATAATCATTGTTATTCAGTCATTTTTCAGTCCTGTTTGATTCTTTGTGACCCTATTTGGATTTTTCTTGGCAAAATTACTCGAGTGATTTGCTATCTCTTTCTTTAGCTCATTTTACAGATAAAGAAACTGAGGCCCAGAGAGGTAAAGGGATTTGGCCCTCCCCCCCGCCCATGATTCAGGTAGCAAATAGCAGAACCAAAGGAGAGTATCTCATTCTTAATTTGTTGATGGGAAAAATGGGGCTAGCAGGAGGAAATCTGGTTGAAGCTACGAGTAGACCTTCGTCTATACATGGTGCCTTGGATATAGGCATTATCTAGAAGGAAAATAGAAGGTTGGGGTATTACTTGAAGAATGTGTTTCACTGCCAGGGAAGAGAAGAGGAGAAATGAAATGCTTTCTAGAGAAGCTTGGTTTTCTTGGATATTAACTGGGATGAGAATGGCCTTCCGGCTCTTCTCATCTCTTTCTTCTCCAGACTGTATGCATTTGCCTCATTGTGCCTTCTACCTGGCACTCCGAATTCTACCCTCCAAGACCAAGCAGAATAAGTCTTGTATTCCTCTTCATAAGACAGCTGTACACATGCTAGATGATGGCTCTCAAGTTGCCCCCAAGTCTTCTCTCCAAAGACAAGGGCTACGTGTGCCCAGTTTCTTCAGGTTGGCCTTATATGGCATGGACTCAAGGCCCTTCACCATCTAGGTTGCCTGCCTTTGGATACCCTCGAGCTTATTAATATCTTTGATTGGCACAAAACTGAGCATATTCCAGATAAAGTCTGCCCGGGGCAGAGGACAGAAGGATGATCCCTCTTTATTCCTCAAAATTATACTTCTCTTAAGGCATCCCAAGACTTCATCACTAGCATTTCTAGCTTGCACATCAGACTGCCAACTCATATTGAGCTTGTGGTCCACTGAAACCCTCAGATCTTTTTCTGACAAAATATTCTCTAATTGTACTTCCTTCCCTCCTGTACTTAACAAAATGTGTTTCATCTCTTGGCAATGATGCCACCTGACTTTTGACCCTCAAGTCAGTCCTTTCTTTGTTATTACTGTGCAGTTTGCTGGTGAATCCATCCAAATGGGCTGCAGGTTCTGTTGCTATTTTGCAGGAACTATAGTAGGAGATGCCATCATGGTATATAATGCATAAAGGGCTGGCCTCAGAGTCAGAAAGACCTGGGGTCAAGTCCTGCTTCTGAGATGCACAGGCTGTGTGACCCCGATCAAGTCATTTATACTTTTATTGGTCCTCAACAACTCTCTAAGATGATTAGTGGTGGCTGAGGATGCAGGCATTGATCTGTCTTGGGAAAGGGATTCCCCTCCACTGATAAAATCACAGGTCTGATGAGAAAAAGCAAACAGACTAAGAGAGAAGTCCTCAAAGCCTTAGTATCCCATCCATGAATGCCCCATGGAGCAATAATGATGATGATAATAACTGATATTTCTACTGATTCTTAAAGTTTGCAAAGCACTTTATATTTATATGCGTTCTCTCACCCCAGACCTGTAAAATGAGTGCTACAGGTCTTATCATGCCTATTTCGCAGGTGAGGAAACTGAGGCTCAGATGGGTTAAATGAGTTCTAAATGGTTACAAGGTTAGTAAATGTTAGAGATGAGATTTGAACTCAGGGCTTTCTGACTCCATATCCAAAACTCTAGACACTGTAAAATTGCACCTCAGAACTGGGTTGAAATTTTACCTCTGACTCTTAGCTGTCATCTGTAAGTCACCTAACCCATCTGAGCCTCAGTTTTCCCATCTGTAAAATGGGCATGATAAGGCCTGTAGTAGCCTCACCACAAGATTGTTCAAATGAGAGAATATATGTAAAAGGCTTTGCCCCTTTTGAAGGACTATAGAGCCTGTTATCATTAAAAGAGAGTCCCTCAGGCCAAGGATGGGCTGGCCACATTGTAGGGTTGGGGCAGGGAGGTATAGCTATGCATAGAAAGCAGGCTAGGCATGTGTTCCATTCTGATCCAATGGAAATATTCTCCCAGGCAGAGCTGCACACCTGGCCCATGCTCTATGTAGACCTGTATGGGGCAGGAGGACAGTGATGGGAACATGGATTTCCCCAGCTTTGAAAAGAAAGAAAACAGTTTCTGTCCTAAGGGGAATTTGGTGGAGATCACAGGGTTGCCTGGCCCCCCTTTGGTGGCATCTCCTTCTAAATGAGGACCGTGTTATTTCTTTTCTAGTAATGTCTTCAAGTCCTACAGTTGGCTCTTCCAGTGCATCCTCCATCCTCCCATTTTCGTCTTCCGTCTTCCCAGCTGTCAAACAGAAGAGTGCCTTTGCTCCTGTCATTAGACCCCAAGGCTCCCCTTCTCCTGCCTGCTCTAGTGGAAATGGAAATGGATTCAGAGGTAAGAAAGATGGTGCCTTGGGAGCACATGCCCAGAATTCCTCTCCATGGGTTTGCTAAGCCACACTGAAAGTCACCAGCATCACTCTGCTCTTTGGCATCCATTGACAAAGACACTTTTTGGTTTTTCAATCAAGAAATACTCAGAAGTGATCAATTTCCATTAAAATGTGGAATAAGAAACAGACAGACTCAGCATCATCTCCAAGTCCCAGTCATGGTCTAGTCCAATCCAATAAACATTTATTAAACACCAGTGATAAGCGAGATGTTGTGCTAAGCCGAAAATGAAAAAAAAAATTTCCAAAAACTTACATTCAAAGGGAGAAACAGTAGAACAAGGACAGAGATAAGCATATACATGATAATTTGAGAAAGAGAGAACAAATCTTTTTTTTAAGGCAATTGGGGTTAAGTGACTTGCCCAGGGTCACACAGCTAGTAAGTGTCAAGTGTTTGGTCTGAGGCCAGATTTGAACTCAGGTCCTCCTGAGTTCAGGACCAGTGCTCTATCCACTGTGCCACCTAGCTGCCCCTGGGAACAAATCTTAATAGCTGAATTTCCAGAAAGGAAATTCTCTGCCCCTTTCCTTCTGCCTTTTGGTCTTCTAGGCTTTCTTAGAGATTCAGCTCCAACCCCAGCCCCTCAGGAGGTCTTTCCTGGTGGGCCTGGCTGCCAATGCCTCCCCTTCCTGGGTCACCTTCTTTCTGCTCTGTATATATCTTGTACATATTTACTTACTCACATGTTGTCCCCTCTGCTAGAAGGCAACTTCCTTGAAAGCAAAAGCAGCTTTTACCTTCTTTGTATCCAGAGCTTAGCATACTGCCTGGTGCGTAGTGAGCCCTTTGTCAATGTTTATAAACTGAGTGACTGACCTGGGAGAAAATGTCTGAGCTAAGTTTTGGAAGTGGCTGGGTGGAACTGAAGATGAGGTGAGGGATGAATGTTTTCCAGGCGTGGAGGACAGCCTAGGCAGAGCCACAGAAGAGGGAGCATCGGTGTTCGGGGGACAGCAAATGGGCTCCTTTGCCTAGAACTTAAGAGTAGCAAGGGGAAATAATTTGTAGTAAGACTGAAAAGGTGAGCTTGAGCCTGACTATGTCAAACAGAGGACTCTGTATCGTACCCTAGAGGCAATAGTGAGCTCTTGAAGTTTCTTGAGTAAGTGAGTGACGTGGTCAGACTTGTTCCAAATATAGAAGCCAGGAATTAATTTCCAAGCTCCCGGCACTGTGGTTTCGGCCCACAAGACCATACAATTTCTCCCTGAAGGATGCCCTGGGTCATCACATGAGCTGGCATGTGTTACTACTTACACAGCCTGCCTGTCATCTGCAGTCCATATACATTCCAGGGGCATAGCTGGATGGGATCCATCAGGAATAACCAGCAGTTTCCAGAACGCTGACTTCCATGCTCACCAAATTGATAGCAGGTGCCTGATCAGGGCCACGGGGAGGGAAGAAAAGTGTATGTCTTTGTGTGTGTGCGTGTGTGTGTTTTTAAAGAAAAAGAATTAATATCACACGTCAAACTTGTTTCTGAGCGGCACAATGAAATGTAATGTGACATGACGTAACACAAATGTGATGAGTACACGAATATCTAATCATCTCATCATGGACAGGAGGCAGCTGATGGCAAGAGAGCAAATTAGAAACTGCTGAGCACCGCGGATCACTGACGGGCCCCCATTATTTTTCGGCAGCTCTGCACATTCAGACATGAAAATATTCCTGACAAGCAGTGTTGGAGAGAACCCATAGGGTCAGAGGTTCGGTTAACCCCTCTCAGATCCAAGTCCCTGAGGCCTGCTGGGCTTCGGAGGGAATCTTGGACATGCAGCTCTCTGGCCAGAGCAGAGGCGATGTTCTTCTAGCGGTCCCTGGAAAAAGCCTTCTAGGGCCATCTTTGCGAACTGTGACTCAGAAAAGCTGTGCAGTATAAGAGAGGGTTGGTAGTCATGGAGTCCCAGGGTTGTGGGATTTAGAATGGGAAGGAAACGTAGGGATCACGCAGTCAAATCTGACAAAATCAGACTTGGAAGGGATCGCGGTGACCAACCCTAGGATCCGAGCTGGAAGGACTTTGGTGAAGGGAACAAGAAAGGGAAAGGAGGCTTTGTTAAGCACCAACTGCGTGCCAAGAGTGATTTACAAATATGATCTCATTTGGTTGTCTCCTAGAGATGCTTAGAGAGTCCAAGCCCTTCTTTTCACAGAGGACCAAACAGACCCGGAGGGGTTAAATCACTCCCAGGAAGTGATGTAGGTATTAGCATTATTCTTTCTGGCCTCAGAGGACACAACTGGGAGCACTGAGTGAAAGTTGAAAAGAAGCAAATTTAGACTTGATATCAGGGGAAAAAAATTAAGAGCTATCCCAAAGTGTGATGGGCTGACTTGAGAGCCAACAGTTTGTAAATGACAGAGCTGGATTCAAACCCAGGTCCTCTGCCTCTAAATCCAATGTCTTTCCACTCTAGCCAGGAAAGAATCCTTATCACTACCTACTCCACAAGTTGGCATCTAACCTCTGTTGGACAACCCTTAATGAGAGGGAATTTAGCACTTTTATGAGGCATCCTACTCAACTTTTTTGTTCTATGGTACCTGGAGTCCCTGGAGGGTTCTGGTGATTAGGAATCACAGAATTTGTAGGGCTGGTGTGAGCCTTAGGGGTCGTCATTCAGTGCCCCTATTTTACAGAAGTGGAAGTTGAGGCTGAGAGAAATGAAATGACCCACTCGGGGTCACATAGCTGTATGGTAGATCTGTGACTAGAACCCAGCTCTCCTTCTTTACAACTCAAGAGTATTTTATTGTATTTCAACGACTTCGCTGGAGAAGCCGGCCCACAGTGCTACTTAGGGACACCAAGAATTTCATTTCTGTCACCCAGCACCAGGTCTTCCATGGTGGATTTATCACATGGCCAGTGGAAAAGAAACAACAGTGATTCCTTTCTGGACATTTCCCCTTTCCCGACTACCCCTCTAGTTGGATTATTTTGGATGGGAGCCCAGTCGCTAGGTTTCATTTTCACAAAACAGTTATTGTTAGGGAAACGCATGATGAAAAGGCACAGATGGGAGGGAGCAAGGGAGGAGTTTGGGGACCAAGGAGAAGGTAAGGGCTTCTTTCTATGCCTCTGGGGCAGAAAGAATAAGAATGTAATGGCTCACACATTGTCTAATGGACGTTCCCAGTTCTGAGACTGATAGAAATTTAGAGCCAGAAGAGACTTTAGTGGCCTTTTAACCTGACCCACACCCTCTAAAAGAAGCCTGGCTGTACCACGCGTGACAAACAGTCCCTCAGACTTTTCTGTATGCCCTCCAGTGACAAGAACTCCCAAGGCAGCCCCTTGCACTAATTCAGTACTAAAGTTGGAGCCAGGGACCTTGGTTCAAACTCTGACTGTCACTTGTCACTTTTGTTTTTGCCTGTAACCTCAGGCAGGTAACTCACCTAATTTTTCTGGGCCTTCATGTCCTTTGCTACAAGATGAGGGATCAGACTAAATGATGATTAAGGTCCTTTCCAGATATAAATCTCTGATTCATTGTAAATATTCTGGGGGAGGGGTGGAAGCAGATGGGAGGGTGAAGAGAATTAAGAGTGGACCAAAGGGGCTGATGAAGGGAAAGATACTCTAGGAGAAATGGCCCCATCTCATAACTAAATGCATGTTCTGGGCTTAATATTTGTTCTTGTTGGAGTACTGTGTTCAGTTCTGTTCTTTATTGAGAAGGGTATGGATGGATTGTTAGGAGGAAGGCAATGGGGATAGTGAAGGGTCATGAGCCCATGCTGTGTGACACAGGGCTGAAGGACCTGGGAATGTTTAGTCTAGAGAAAGGAAGGCTTCCCGGGAATATGATCGCCCCACCTTCAAGCACCTGGAAGGCTGTTATACAAGAGAGGAATCTAAATTGTTCTTTTTGGCCTCAGAGGATAGAACTAGAAACAATGAGTGAAAGTTAAAAGAAGCAAATTTAGACTCGATATCAGCAAAAAAAAAAAACATTTACTAAGAGTTGTCTCAAAACATAATTAGTTGCCTAAGGAGCTAGTAGGTTCTCCCTCTTTGGAATTCTTCAAGCAAAAGCTGTATAACCACAGGCAGGGTATATTGTAGAGAGAATTCTTAGGGTACAAGGCTTGGACTAGGCTAGATGGCTGCTGAGTTCTCTCAGTTCCAGTGTTTTTTTTTTTTCCCAAGTTAGTTTTAGTGATTCAAAGCAAAAAGCAAAAGCCTCTTGCTGGTCAAGCAAACCCGCTAGGGCATCCGAGGCAGGGCTAGGAGAAAGGAAGGAAACATGAAACCCACTCTTTTGTTACCTGATCCACTCTGACCTTTCAACAAGCTCATGCAGCAGTCCCCAGAGACCGTGAAAGAATGGGCTGAGGAAGGGAAGGTGCTGCATGCTAAGGAAGGGAAGGAAGCTAGAAGTTCAAGGTGAAAATAGCCACGTGAGAAATTGACTGGCCAGAGTTCTAGTTCCATGTACCCAGTAGGTGCTTAATAAATTCTTGTTGGATTGATCCAGGAAATGCATCAGCCCATCTCAAGACAGCAGTAATCAAGCATTTCAGCAGATGATCACAGCTTGTCAGGGTTATACCCAACATTGTGTGTCTAATGTTCTTGCCAGTTTCCCTCAAGGAAAAAAGGAAAGGAAAAAATCCTTGCACTCTGGGATAATCAGTCTGGGTTGCTATAACTCCAAATCATCAGGGAGGGTCTGGAATTGAACCACCTTTATTGAAAAGTTACATCGATTCACTATAAAGTAATACAGGCAAAAATAATTATGGCTTTGCTAGCTGTGTAAGACCTTAATCCAGATCTCACAAACATTCAATAAAGGCTGGATAGAAGCAGAGAGACAGGCTACCAACGACTCTGCCTGAGAGGGTTAGCTGGCATTCAGAAAAGAAAAAAATGGGGAGAAGGGAGGGTGAGAAAGAGAAAGAAGGAAGAAAGGAAGGAAGGACTAAAGGAAGGAAGAAAACAGAATCAGAAAGATAGGAAGAAAAAATTGAAAGGAAGAATAACCTGAAGGAAGGAATGAGATGAATGAAAATGAAAGAAAGAGGAAGGAAGGAAGGAAAGGAGGGAGGGAGGGAAAGAAAGAAGGAAGAGATAAGATGAAGAAAGGAAAAAGATCAATGGAGAAGGAAAGAAGGAAGGAAAGAGAGAAAAAAGAAAGCTAGAATTAAGGAAGGAGAGAGGTAAATGAGAAAAAGAAAGAAAAAAGGAAGAAAGGAGAGAAGAAAGGAAGGGAGGAGAAAAGCTATTAAATTATTTACCTTAAAGCCTAATAAAGAGCAATTCCTCTGCAAAATGTTTCTATTCCAGTTAATAAGTTGCGATGCACTGAGATGTACTGAATATATCCAGAAATCTGTTCAAATCAAGCGATAGACATAGCTTATTGTAAAAAAAAGGGGTTGTCTCTTTCCTAGGATCCGAAAATTGTATTAATTTGCAGCTGGTTAAGCGGGACTGGAGCAGGGCCTTTTCCCTCGATATTCCTTCTCTTGGGCCACGGCCAGCTACCTGGCTCCCAGAGCTGAGCAGGAGCCAAGAGGAAGGAGTGCTCTGCACCCTCCAATCCACTCTAGATCCCCAGCTCTCCCAGAATTCCTTTCACTAGCCAGATGAGGAGTTAGCTGTCCACTGCAAAGGCACAGAGGGGGAGGGAGGAAGGCTCCTAAATTAGAAACTAAATTTGAACCTCCATTCCAGTGGGTCAACACTCATTACTGAACATCCCAGATTGGCAGCAAACTGTCAAGGGGAATGTGCTTGTTAAAAATAACCAATCATATTTCTGCTAAAAATAAATGCGAGGGCCAGAAAGTTAGAGCTGGTTAAACAGGAAACTCAGGGCCTAAGTGGGCTCGTGTGCTCGAATTTTGCTCCTTTCCCTTATGATCCAATAGAAGCCATCTGGGACAAGAAATGGACATGGGTTTTCCTCATCCATCCATCCATCCATTCATTCATTCAACAAATGTGCAGAACACTGTTATAGGAAATGGGAGAAGGAGCAAAGTGTACCCAAATTTACCTTTGCCTTCACGGAGCTTTTCAACTCACATGTGTGGGGACAAGTGGTGAGCTCCCCGTCCCTGGAGGTCTTCAAGCAAAGTCTAGATTACTATTTATTCAGGGGATTCTTGGCTATGTGCAGGCTGTGTTTGAAGTCCTCTGAGGTCCTTTCCAGCTGATACTCTACAAATAGAGAATGATCCTGGCTTTGCATTCATTTCTTTACTATGCATCTGGTACAAAGATTCTGTCCCTGTGTAGGAACTCCTGGTGTGAAAATTCCCTCCACTGAAGCAGGTCAGCAACTTGTCTGTTCTGCCAGTCTCAGAGGCTGCTACACTGAGATGGGAACTGACTGACCCAGGGTAACAGCTGAACCTCCATCTTCCGGACTCCAAGGTTACTCTATCCACATGCCTTACTCCCTTTTGAGGAATCAGGGTCCCTAAACAGGTGACCAAACCACCTGCCTCACTGGCAGAAACATGCTTTGTAAATTGGCAAGTGTTCTAGTAATGTGAACTGAGCCATGAGCCTCCAAGAGAAAGAGAAACTTGTGTAAATGCTGCAAAAAAGTGTTAGAGGCTCTGGGTTCAAATCCTACTTCTGGCACTAGCTGTGTAACCTTGGACTCTTACCCTCTGGTTTCTCATCTCAACACATGAATTATTGCCATAATATCTAGCTTAATTTTTGTCTGTCAGAAATGAGACAATTTATCATATTAGTGAACCTAGTGTTAGAGTTTGGGAGGGTTATTGTAGTTTTCTTTATGGTGAAATCTACAATTCCTGGTTTCCTAGTCTTATCTAAATCTTGGCTGCTTTTTTTTTGTACATATATATTATATATATATTTACATATGTCTATGTTAGACTGACAGTTGAATATATAGTTTTTTACGTTTTCCCTTTTAACTTCTCAGTTGATTTTTTAAAAGATAGTTTTGAATGTATCCATTTAGAATCCACAACCAGTGGCTTATCTTTCATGGCTCTTACTAAAATGTGTGGTTTAAATCTGTTTGGGGGCAGACCAAAGTTATGTGGTGGGGGGAGAGGGGTATTCCAGACAGAGGTCCTGCATCAGTACCTTGTACTCTATGGGTACGAAACAAATACAATCTGATCAATTTGAGAGGAATGAGCAACAAGAAAAAATGAAGGGGATATGCTAAAATGCCCATCCCCTCTACTCTAGATTTATGGCTGCTGTACGGATTGAAGTCACCCCTTTTTTGGATAAATTATGGCTAATATCAATGAAACACCTATGTCTCCTTTAAGGTAGTGGTGGTGGTGGAGGCTCTTTCTTCTTGCCCTCAATGGCCACCCTGCAAATCAACGTGCTATGGACTCATGCTTTTGTCTGCTCTTTGTTTTCAGCCATGACCGGCCTCGTCGTTCCCCCCAATGTAAAGAGAAGGAAGAGTTGCGTCTTGGAAAACACAACTACTTCAAGTGATGGACCACTAATATGGAAAGCACTAACTGCTTTTGGAGGGCTGTCCTGCCCCCCGAAGGAACACTCTGTATGGATTTGGATATGCAAGGAGCCTGCATCTTACCTGGTCTCATGTCTCCCCTGTAGCCGAGAAATCGGCTGCCCAAACTCCAACCCCACTCGTGGACAAGGACAGATACCGTCATTGGCATGCATGGTCAGTACTAAGGACAGAAATGTGGTTCTTTCTTTATGGACTTGATGAAAACCACCTTCCTACGTTTGTAAAATATTTAAGAAAAAAATTGGCAAACAATTCAAGCTTGATATTTTGGATACTATTTGTTTTTCTTTGTAGGAAAAAAAAAGTTGAAAGTTTCTATTTTCTATGAAGCCTTTCAGATACCAATTTAGTTTATGCAGAAAAAAATTTGAACGAAACAGGGTACCCGCATGGAAGACTTTCTTAAAACAAAACCTGAATCGAATGACGATGATATGTTGTTGTATGTGTGTTTGCTTATAGTTTAATCTCTTTAAAAAACAAAAAACACAAAAAAAGGAAAAATTTTAAAATGTTTTACAATTATTTAAATAAATAAATGTGTAACTTATTGTAAGTAGAGGTAGAAATTAAGACCTTTTTGGAAAGGAGGGGCATTTTCTCCTCCTCTTGTACAATGAAAATGATGCAAAACTGTAGTTCCAAGATAAAAAGAAAATAAGATGTGTGATTGTTACCACTGCTATTTCCTGGATGCCCACTCCTGTCCTCTCCACATCCCCTCCCCCGTTCCATCCTTGCATAGATCCGTATGCAAGGACTGCGGTAGCCCACCTGTGTTCTTTCAGAACCGTACAACATTCCAAGAAAAGCCAAGCACAAATCCAGAAATACAGAAAAGCAGTAGGGCTGGTCCAGCTAAGTCTGCTTTCCAAAAAGCCTGCATGTCCCTTTGAGTCTTTGCTTCCTATCACAATTTTCCTGGGGTAGCTATTTTTGACATTCCCTGCCAAAGGCCACCTAGGATTCTTGCACTTTGTTACGGTCCAAACCCCATCCAGTTTTTCAAGGGCAGGAACAACAGGGAAATCTTCTTGCCTGAGAGAGGATCCAAAATGGATAAAACCTCTTCAGTGCAGGACCATGTTGGGGTCCAGTTTCCAGATCACTAGCAACTGTAACTTCAGTCCCCTTAGGTGATCCCTCTGGTGAGTCTCCTCTGTCTGCTCTGGTTGGCCATCAGAGCTCATGGGCAATGATTAATTGTTCTCCTTCCCTGATGGGTGGAAGGTGCCTGAGTGCCCATCTCTCAGGAATTCTATCTTTCTTTTCCCCTCTCACACTTTCCCATTCAGAGGATCACAGTATCCAGAGCTGGAGGGTTCTCAGAGGTCAGCTAGTCCATTTTACATCAAGAGGTTCATAAATCATAGATCTAGAGCCGGAAGAGGAAACTGAGGCATAGAGAAATACATATGTTTATAGATCTAAAGGTAGAAGAGACCATATACTCTAACCCCTTCAGTTTGTAGTTGAGGCACAGAGAGGTTCATGGATTGAGAGATCTGTTATTTGACAAGCATTTCTTAACCATCTCCTATCTCTCGGGGGACCTCGGAGACCCCCTTGTACAATCCTATCATTTTACACATTTTGTTTATAAACTGAGGCACAGGGAGGCTCATAGGGTTATAGATTTAGACCTGCAAAGGACCCCGAAAGACATCTAGTTTAATCCTGCCATTTTACAGATAAGGAAACTGAGACTCGGAGTAGTGACGAGACTTGCTCAGCCTCACCCAAGGACTTTCTATACAGCTTCAGGGATTCTAGAGTGCTCCGCAGACCTTTTCTCATTTGAGTAAGCAGAGTCAGAATTCAAACCCAAGCTTATGGACTTCAAATCCAATGTTCTTTGCAACCCACCACTTGCCGTGGCATTAAACTCACTGGGTAGAAAATGAACAATTCAGAGGTTCTACTCCCATTCCTCAAACCCCCTCCCCAGTGGAGAAGGGAGGGGAACATTTTAAAACCCAAGTAGTATGGGGTTCGAAAGGATGAATATTGGCAGCTTCAAAGAATCATTGAGGAGTGCAGTTTCCTAACCGCTCAGCTATTTGTCCACTGTTCTCCGTGGATGATTAGCTCTCTTTTTAGGAGAGGCCTGACGCTGTTGCTAAGAAGTTGAGTCTGAATGAAGCTGTAACTCAAAAGCTAGTGACTCTTACTACCTGCTTGACCTTACCTGGGATGCCAACCCAGGTGGTGTTTCCTCCTCTGTGCTGCCTAGCTTCCTCATTCACTCCCTGGCACCACTAGAGAGTGCCTACAGAACTCATTTAGAGGATACTCAGCTGGGGTCTGGATGATATTAGTTCTTTCCTGTCCCAATGGAGAAACACACTTAAATTGAGTGCATTTAGTCTGAATTAGGGTAATATTTTTTTTTTAAATCAATTCCTCATTCCTTTTCCTAGTCTACATTTTCATATCCCCCCCAATCCAATCCCATTTCACTCTTTCCCCTTAGCTCCATACTGGAAATACTACCCCCACCCCCACCAACCCAAATGGGATTTTTATGCACCATGAAAATTCAAGGTTTTTCATAGTTGGCATGCCTGGAAGTGCTGTTGACAGTAACACGCTTTGAAGAACCAAGTTGCAAAGAAACACACCCGAAAAAAGTCCCCTGATGCAAAACGTTTTAGAGAGGAGGAGGGATATCAACAGAGTTGTCCAAAAATGAAGGCAGAACAAAAATGAAGCACGTCTGGACCTGGATTTGAGCCAATCTGACATAAGGGGAAAAAAAATTTAAGTAGCTTTGCTTTAGAATCTGTGAATTTCGCTCTTGCATGAAGATGAGTGCAGTGCTGTCTTCAAATGATTGTAGAACTTGGTGGTAGATTTACACCAGGAAAAAAAAAATGTGTGTAATGAAATATCCAGAAACCCTTGATCACTCATCTAGGACCTTGGCCGCAACAGGAATATTTAAATGTACAAATTGGTGTGTAAGGATTTTGTAGTGTAATAAACGAAAGCAACTCTCTCCTTTCTAGTCCTTGCTGTTAAATACTCCTGATCCCAGATTCGTTTGTGCCACTTGGAATACAAGTATTTCTATAGGAGAAGACAGATTTTATCATAGCTTTGTAAGAGGAACTGTGTGGGGTTGTGTTTTTTTTTTTTATTAAAGGGACATTTTATTTCATTATTTATCTCATTTTCATTATAGCATCTTAAATTCTCACTTTTTTTCTTTGCACATTTCAATATGCATGGTTTCAAAACCGTCCTCCTGCTTCCCTTTTGTAAAGTCTCATCTCCCAAATTCTATCATTCGTTGGGTTGTTTTGCTTTGTCAATTATATACAGTATAAAGTTGCTATGCACAGAGCTTTTTGTAAAGATTGCTTTTTTTTTTTGGTTTTGTATTTTGTTGTTTTTTTTTTGTTTACTGTTTTTAATGGTCTTACTTATGGAAGAATATCTTGTTTGTAAAATGAATATGTCTACTTCAGTTTTAAACTTTAAATTATCCTAACAAAAAAAAAATAAAATTTTTGTACTGTACCAGGTGTTGATCTTTGCTTGTTTTGAAACAGGAGAGTTTCAAAATCTAATCTATTCCTTTTCATTTTTATAAACTGTAATGGAAAGAGGACAAGTTTAAGGCCTTTGAGGAGGAAGAGCAGGCAAAAGAGGCAATTGCCTAAAGCAGCATGTGTAAAGGGGTTTTACTGAGGATCCTTTAAGATGTGACTTGATAAATATACATGGTTTTAGTGTCTGAAAATTATGGTCTTCAACGCAATTCAATCTAGTCCAATCCAACTCAATCCAATCCTATACATCCTGACCCATCCCAACCCAACTCAATCTAATTTAGTCCAATCCAATCCAATCCAACCCACTCTAGACTAACCCAACCCAATCCAATTCAGTTAAACAAGCATTTAATATCCGCTAATGTCCAACATTAGTTGCTGGGTGCTGGGAACAAAAAAACAAAACAAAACAAAATAATTCACGTCCTCCAGGAGCTTATATTCTACTGAAGGAAACAGCATACATACAGATAAGTCTATAAATGATAATGTGATGCAGATGGAGAAAGCACAACCAATTAAATGGATTGGGGAAGATTTCTCCCAGGTGGTGGTGACATAAGAACTAAACCTGGCAATAAATGAGAGATTTGAAGAGTTGAAGGCAAGAGGGAATAGCATTCATTAGAATGATGGTTTTAGAGCCGAAAGGGACCTTTGAAGTCATCCAGTATAATCCACCATTCTATAGATGAATCCACTAAAGGCCAGAATGGCTGAATGACTTGTGCAAGTTCACACAGGTCCAGGATTCCAATGGGTGTTTTTTTAATTTCTATTCTTGGGGTCCTTCCTCAGCACCATTATTCTATACAAAGGGATGGCTTGTGTAAGAGCTCAGTAACAAGAGTGGATGGCCAAATTCAGGGGGCAGTTAACTAGGCCAGTTCAGCTGCAATTGAGAGTTGAGAAGGGGACTAACATGAAATCACCCTGGAAAGGTCAGCCGGAGCCAGACTGGACAGGGTTTGAAATACCCAACAGATCATTCTTATCATATTCTAGAGGCAGCAGAGAGATTCAGGCCAACTGGACAAGCAGCTTAGAACCTGACATACAATGTGGGACCATGAGAAGCACTTTTAAATATGACTCTTTGCAAATACATGTATTTTTCACATCAGTAGATTTGTCTCCATTCTGTGGAGAAAACCGACCAATCAACATTCAGTAAGCATTTATTAAATGTTTACTGTTTCCTCACATGGGAGTTGCCTATCCCCATATAGTCACAGTTTCAGCAGGCACTTTGCTAAGCACTGGGGATGCAAAGAATGGCCAAAAAATTAAAAAAAAAACTGTTCCTGAAAAATATCTTAGGGGGAACAGCACCACAGGTGGTAGCACCAGGAAAGGTCATCTAATTGAAAGATGCTAACCATTGCACAATTGCAAGCAGTGACATTATATAGTAGATAGAAAGATTGATAAACAGTAAACCACTGGAATTTCAAACATGTATGTGTGCATATATCTCTGTGGGTATGAAGGTGTGTGTGCAGGTGCAGAATTTTTTAATCTTAACTGGGATGCACAAATGCTTTGTTCCTGACTAGGTCACCATCGAACTATATGACCTCAGAGAAGTCACTTTGCCCTTCTGAGAACCATTCAATTTCCTCCCACTGTAACTTGAGATAGACTACATCAGCTTTAAGGATCTGGCTGACTTGGACATTCTGAGGTTGGTTTTCTGATGGTCACAATGGCCAGATTGAGTCCAAATAGCTCAAGCTTTTAATATCGGTCCCTGAATTTTGTCTAGGAAATTTGGGGGAATTCATAAATAATAGGGGAAGCTCCTTAAGGAGTGTCCATGGGGCAGTGGCTCTATAAGGCCAAAAGCCCAACCATAAGTCTTCATAATATTCATAATCTCCTGGCCCCGACATGGTAGGGGACTCAGGGTGCCTCCATGTTAGGTGATCTGGGCATGCTCAAACATCCTCTTACAATAAGATCATGGGGTAGATGAATGAATCAAAAATCACTTACTTAGTATTTTCTATAGACCAGGTACTGTATTAAGTGTTGGGGATACAGATATAAAAAGTGAGTTAATCTCTCCCCTCAAGGAGCTTCCATTCTAAAATGTGAGGGAGACAACAGGAATATATGTAAATATATCAGAATAAATATAAAGAGGTATATAATATAATAAGGTAGCTTGAGAAAAACAGCACAAGTAGTTGGCGGCATCAGGAAAGTCTTCATGTAGAGGGTGAGGAATCAGCTGCATGTCCAAAGAGAGAAGGCTTCCATGAGGCAGAGGCCAGGAGTGAGTGCACTCCAGGCGCTAGGGAACCTTCAGGGCAAAGGCAGGAGATTTGGCTTACCTTTAAAAGGAAGGGAATGGTGCCAGCTACCCTCTAGGGTCCCTCACTGGCTTTCTAACCTAGGAGCTATTTTCAAGTCTTTGAAAATTATGGGGAAAGGAGATTTGATTCCTTCCACATGTCCTAGAGGGTTGGACATTTCAGAGAAAGCAGACTGGCTCCATACAACAGAAGGCTTCCTAATGGCTAGAACTGTTCAAATGCATCGGTGTCCATAGTGGGAGGTAATGACCACTTAGCATAGTGTCTGGCCCGTGGTAGGCACTTAATAAATGTTAATTGATTGATAATAAGCTTCCCATTGCTGGAGGCCATCAGACAGAGACTGAATTTTTACTCAGGGAGGAACAGTGTGGTAAACTGGAAGGACCAATGGCTTGGAATCAGAGGACCTTCCTTAGTTCAATCCCCAGCTTTGTTCTTTATTGTCTCTGTGGTTGAGTAACTTCCTCTGTGTGCCTCAGTTTCCTCATTTGTAAACATGAAATATTGGGACTATAAGGTCTTTAAGGTCACTTCCAATTTTAAATCCACGAGACTAACATTTCTGTTCAACTAGTTGAGAGAGTACTATAATACCTTTTAATCTAGTATTAACACTATTAGTAGTATGATACTATTTCTGTCTGTACTGTTTTCCCCATCTGTAAAATGAGGGGTTTGGATCAGATAGTGATTGTGCCTGAAGGCTGGCAAAAGGCTGTATACGAGTTATCTCATATGATTCTCAGAATGCTCCTGTAAGATGGGTGCTATTATTATCTCCATTTTACTGATAAGGAACCTGGATTTAAGAAGGTGAAGGGATTCACCCAGGGTCACACAATTTGTGAGTGTTTAAGGCAGGATGTGAATCTGGCTGTTCTAACTCCAAGTCCAGAGCTCTATCAAGTACATGACACATTCTTTAAGATTCTTTCACCTCCAAACCAATGATTACATGAGATAATGTGTATAAAGCATTTTACAAGTGTTATATAAATACCAATTAACTATTATTATTAGTAGTAATATTCTGTGTGGAACTAATAATAAAGGAAGTGTATGTCAAATGCCAAATAAGAGATATAGACAAGTATTATTGGAATTCAGAAGAGAAAGAAATTACTTTGAGTTAGAGTGGTTATGGAAAGCTTCCTGAAATGAATAAGACTTAAAGACCACTGGCTTGGCCAGAGAACTTGGGTCCTGAATTATAAGAGTACAAGGATGGCAGTGTCCACCACTGGGCTTATGTATTGCTTATCCCTTGCTCTCCCCACATGACTCATATGACCTAATTTCTTTTCCCTTCATACAATTTCTGGGTTGACTCCCCCCCTCCCGCCCCTTACTCTGGTTCTCTTTTATAATCTCCTGTTGTCACAACTTGCTAATGCCCACCATATGCCTCTCCATCTCTCTCTGAGTCATCCTTAATTTCAGTTCTTCAGAGATTATGGTGTTCCATGACCCATAGCCCCAGATCATCACTGGAAGAATTCTACTGTTAAAAAGATGTGCCTTAGTTTCAGGGAGTCGTTGAATGACTGAAGTCATTGACTTGGGGGTCATCAAAAGATCCTTCCAAATTCCCCCAGGCAAGCTAGCCCACTCTCTTCTTCTCTTCCAGTTCTGGGCCCAGCTCTTTATCTGTTCAATCCAATGAGGTCACTTGAAAGCATTTTTGCAAAAATTAAAGTGATCTCTAAGTCTTAGCTATTACTTTTATCATCATTTTTTGTGGCATCTGCTGGTCTGCTCATTTGACTGACACGGCCACCCAGCTCAGACCAGTAGGTGAGAAGCAACGTTTCAGCACAAGATCATTTCTGCATTTTCTCATATGGAAAACATTAACGATCAATCAAAGACATCAAATCAATCAAAAACTTCAAAAACCAATCAATCTCCTTGGGTGTCCAGAGGGCTCTTTATATTGATGAGACAAGTACAGCTAATCTGTTGCATATTACAAGGTGGGCAGCCTGGTGTAGAGGGCAGAGCTCTGGCTCAGAGAACCTTGGTTCAAATTCATCCTCAGACACTTATTATCTGTTTGGTCCTGGACAACTCACTTTACCTCTCATTGCCACCAGATAGCTCTCAATGACTCTTAGAGCTGCAGAGGAGATGCCAAACTACATTGGCAGAAGAGCAGGGAATCCCCTTTACTAATGAAATCACAGGCCCAGTCTTTATCCCTAATGTAAAAATATTTTGGTCTTTGTCAAATGAGATAAGACACTTTGTAAACCTAAAAGTGTTACATAAATTTTATTATTATCATTATTATATCCTTCTCTTAATAATAATAATAACTTTTTCCTAGTATTGCCAGGCACCATGCTAGCCACTTTATAAATATTATCTCACGGGGCAGCTAGGTGATGTAGTGCATAGAGCATCAGCTCTGAAGTCAGGAGGACCTGAGTTCAAATCCAGCCTCAGACTAAACACTTGACACTTACTAGTTGTGTGACCCTGGGCAAGGCACTGAACCCCAATTGTCTTTAAAAAAGAAAAAGAAAAAGAAAAAAAAATAAATATTATCTCACTTGATCCTCACAATTCTGGGAAGTAGGTGTTATTGT